TGCAGCCAGAGTGCTCCTTAGAGGCCAAGATAGCCAAATTTCGTCTCTCATACTTTGGACATATTGTCAGGAGGGACCAGTCGCTAGAGAAGGATATCATGTTTGGTAAGGTCAGAGAAAAAGAGGAAGACACCCAATGAGATGGATTGGCCAAGTGGCAGCATCGATGGATTCAAGCGTGGCAACAATAGTGAGGTTGATTCTTTATTTCTTCTTTTCATTTAACTGTCTTCTAAATTTTTTCAACAGTGAATAGAACTTGCTTGAATATTTGTGCTCAAGAATAAGAGCAAGTAATGAGATTAAAGGATCTCTGTGCCTTGGCCTGTGCACTGCATTATGGGTATTACAACAGGAGACTGATAATAAGAGAAACCCATGTTGCTGTTGTTAAGTGCTACCAAGTCAGTTCTAACTCATAGTGAAAATTCAACTCAATCATGATTCTCTCCTCTTGGCTCTTATCCCCAAGCTTGCTTCTGCCTCGGTCCCTTTAATTCCAGATCTCAGATTTCCAGGATCTACTTTTATGGCACCCTCCTTGCTTCCTGATGACTAGAGACTAACATCACGTTCTTCTAGGTGTCTTTTTTCATCCCTTTTTTTCCAAGTTTGAAGAACATGATGTCACTGTCTCATAACCTAGAGTTTCTGTTGCCTCTAGCTCATGAGGATCCAAGTTCAGAAGAAACCCTAGTCCTGGAGTTTGTGGGTAGCAGTGGGGAGAGAGCACATTTAAGGGAAAGAGATTCCCCAGCTGTTGGGAGGTAGATCCTGGACTTGTAGTTAAGCCTTAATAATGATAATCAGAGCATGTACATGGTGCATATTGTTTTGACATCAATGATATTTGTAAATAGTGAAGGAGCAACAAAGTGTCTATTAATGCCAAGGATTTGGTAGTGTAACGTAATGTCATTTTATAATAACATTCACCACATAGAGAAAGACTCTACTAGCTGATGATTGTCTGGTATACACAGTTGTTGTTGTTGTTGTGTGCCGTGGAGTCAGTTCTGACTTGTAGTGATCCGATACAGGGTTTCCAAGTCTGTAAATCTTTATGGGAGCAGAAAGCCTCATTTTTCTCCTGCAGAAGAGCTGGTAGTTTTGAACTGCTGACCCTGAGGTTGGCAGTCCTATTCATAACCACTACGCTACCAGAGCTCCTTGGTATATATTGTAGAACACAAAAATGTAAGGAATATTTAGGAAAGTGATGCAAGCCAAAAATTAAATTGCATGTTTTCCTCTTAAAAAGAAGGAAAGGAAAAGAACACTCAGTGTAGCCCTCAAGAGTTCCAACACCCCACCCTGGTCCTGCAGTAGCAAAAATACCACACGTAGTGGCTTTAAAGGATAGAAATTTATTTTTCAAAGTTCTGGAGACTAAAAGTCCAAATCAGGACCTTAGCCTTATCAATTCTTTCTCTGTTGGTAGCCCCAGGTATTCCTAGGTTTGTAGTGATTTTCACATGGCATCTCTTCCCTTCTAGGGGTCTAGGTGGCCATTCCTGTTTCTATGCAGCTCTTCACATAACTCAAAAGTGATTAGGTTGAGGATCCACCCTCAACTGATACAACCTCAACTGGCTGATTAATTACATTACATTGGACCACATTGTGGAAAGTGATTATATTACATTAGATGTAAGGCCACTACATTATATCATGTCCATAGCTATTGTGGGTTCAATCCAAAATAACCCCTCTTCCTCTTCCAGCTGTATGCATCCCTACAACACTCCTCCCCATGGGTTCGTTGTTGTAGTTGTTAAGCGCTATTGAGTCAGTTCCAATCCACAGTGACCCTGTATAGTATACGGTTTCCAAGGAGGAGTGCAGCGCATTAACTCTCAACATGAGTGGTGCCATTTTGCAAAACTGGTTTCCTCACTAGAAACTGGGAGCTCCTGTCCATCTGAGAATCATCCTGTTCATTCAAAACCCAAACCTTAGACCTATAGTATTTGTTTGCTGTCCACAGATTAATGAACAAATGGATTTCTGAGAAAGTATATGTTATCTCTTAATGTGTAATAAGATACCAGAATTTAGCAGTAAATTTAGTAAAGAAACACATATATTACCTCACTGTTTCTGTGGGTGCTCTGGACGCAACTTAATTGGGTCCTTTTTTCAGGGTCTCACGACACAGTGGATATTGGCTGGGCTCTATTATCATCTGGAGGCTCAATTGTGAAAGAATCTTGTCCAAATTCATTCAGCTATTGGCAGAATCTATTTCTTGTGGTTATAGAATTGAGAATGTTGGTTTTTTTCCTGGATGTCACCTGGAGAGCACTCCAAGCTTCCAAAAGACTATCATGAACTCTTTGCCATGTAGACTTCTCATTTCATCAACCCATCAAGGAAAGTCTCTAGAACAAGTCTGATAGTAAGACAAAGTCTTGTCTGATGTAATATAATCCTGGAAGTAACATCCCCTACCTTTTCCATATTCTGAAAACCACAAGGTCGGCAGTTGGAAACTACCAACTGTTCCATGGGAGAAAGATGAGGCTTTCTGTTCCCGTAAAGATTTACAGCCTCGGAAACCCTATGCAGGGTCATTGTAAGTCAGAATCGACTCCACAGCACACAACCCACCAATGAACCAATTGGTTAGAAGCAAGTGACGGGTTCCATCCCCATCAAGGGAAGGTGGTGGTACAAAGGCATGAAAGTGGCCACCGCAGAAGCCACCCTAGAGCCTGTCTGCCACAGAAAGTATGTAGTAGACCCTGATGGTAGACTCCTTACCTTTTCATAGTCTCCATTTCCTCCCTCATTTGCATCCTCTCCTGCAGGTGGCTTCGCTGCTGCTTGCAGATCAGTTATGGAAGAAGCTGCAGCTCCAGTTGCCTGAAGTCCTGGGAAAGGAAAATCCATTCAACCCTCAGATTGAAGACGTGTTTGGAGATCAAGGGGGGCACTGAATCTCTCAGGAACACCCTGGGGAGTTCATCCGCTCATTCAGCAAATGGCTATAGGGACTGCTCTGGCACAAGTCCATAGAAGCCTCTCTGTATCTTTGCAAAATGCTTTATTCTAACTTGAGAGCATATGTGAATGACAGTGTGATTTTAGGTGCTTCCAAGATCAATTTCCTAATGTCTCTCAAATAACTTTTAGTAAGATATATTTGGTTCCATTCCAAATAAGAGGCTATCAACGCCCTCTAGTAGCTAATTCTTCTAAAAGAGATTTATGAAAAAGAAAAAAAAATTCCCAATGTTTAGCAACTGACCCAGGGTTTTGATGTGCTAGGGAACTGACCCTCCCTCAGTTACTGATTTCTGAAAGATGGCCCACAAGCTAGGAAAGCTGTAGCAGGTTACCAAGGACTCTCACAAGTGGGTACAGTCCAAATCTGCTAAGGACCTCTTTTTTTTAAGAAACAATGCAAAACAAAGTACAGATATGAATATATATTTAGAATGAGAAATCACAACAAATTACAAATTTTTAAAAGTTGATAAAATTCACAAAAATGACATTTTTTTTTCTTAACAGCCTTTGACTGCTAATCTGATCGCTTCTTCTCATAACAGTGGTTTTGTAATATTATTCTCTATAGGAAAAATAAAAACATACGTTGCTTATTACTGATGGCTTTGTCTTTCAAGAGTTTCTTTCAGCTACATAATACATTATTGGTAAAGTCATCTCTATGTGTAAGATTGTTGTCAATGGGAAGACTTGTATCAAATTTCTTGTGTCTCTGAGCGTCCCATTGCTACAGCGACTTCCTGGTGAGAATCACTAGAACCTGAACCAAACTCTGAGAGATGGGAAGTTGATCAGTCACGTTCGCGACTGTATCTATACATCCTTTGACAATGCCTGGTCCACTGCAGTTACTCTATAGAAAGAGTAGAATGGTTGGATGGATGGATGAACAGGCGGGCCAATGGGAACCTAATGTTGCTCTCCAGAGTACAGCTTTCTATTTAAAAATAAAAATACAACCTCTTCTTTGACACATTCCAATTGTTGTTTGTGTGCCGTCAAGTCACTTCTGACCCATAGCAACTCTGTGTAGGGTTTCTGAAGAGTGGCTGGTGAGCTTGAACCAACCACCAACCTTGTGGTTCAAACTGACTTCGCAGTGCAGAGCATTAACTCACAACGCCACATTCCTTGTGGTGGAATGGTAAACAAGAAAATCAATTAACAGAGACTTTTTCTGGAGCACCCTTGGCCTAGTCTTGGCATCCCTGTAGGTTGGGTCACAGAAGTTTATAAGATCATCATGTAAGTACCCCAACATTCTGTTATAATTGTTTTCTCTGTTGTCAAAAGAAACACCTGTCCTTTCCTTTCATTATTGAAATGGGACTCATCAATTTCTACTGGAATAATGGTAAAGTTCTTTTATCTTCTGCTCTTGGCATTTTTCATCTGGGTTCAAGTCCTGGTGAAAAAAAAAACCTCAGACCCAAACCAAGCAGATCAGCTAAAAATCTTCAAATGAGACTTATATTGATACTCAACATAGCAGGATCTAAGTACCCCAATAATTTTCAGTGGCTTCCCCACCCTCCCAACTCACTGGTTTAATCCCACAAGAGCCCATGTGACCTCCAGAATTAAGAGTACTCGTGAACTTAAATGGGGAAGAAATTCAGGAGAGACCAGTCGCTGGAGAAGGATTTCATGTTTGACAAGGTGGAGGGTCAGAGAAAAAGAGGAAGACCCCCCAACAAGATGAATTGGCCAAGTGGCAGCATCAATGGACTCAAGTGTAGCAACAGTAGTGAGGTTGGCCCAGGATCGGGCAGTGTTTCGTTCTGCTGTGCATAAGGTCGCTATGAGTCGGTACCAACTCAATGGCACCTAACAACAACAACAACACCCTCTTACAAAATATAGCATTTTCTTCAATTATGAATGTAGGCAATAAAACATAGCTGGATTAGTTGTCTTTGTCACAAGTATTTTTATATCATGTTATAGTTGTCACAGATACCTTTAAATATTTAAATATTATGATCATATTACTTTGAAATAACTGTAGTTACTAAACCTACCACCAGATCTTGTTACTTAGTGCATACACAAAATAATTCATACATTAATGTTTGTCCATTTTTAAATAATCTTTTAATAGTTTATTTTAATACTATTGGTTTCTTTTGTGATCCTATGCATGCTATTTTCTCCTTTTTTCCATTTAAATATGACATTCTGAGAAGAAGTCCAGGATTCCCAGACTGCCAAGGGCAGGGAGGCCCATGGCGTAAGCTCTCTGGAGCTCAGTGTTTGGAGGAGAGAAAACTCTGAAGTCTAGTAAGTTTGGAGTCCCTTGCCATCGAATTGGTTACAGCTCACAATGACTCTGTGTGCCCGAAGAGAATTGTGCTCCAGGCAGTTTTCAGTGGTTGATATTTGGAAATAGATGTTTGGCCTTTTTTCCAAGGCACCTCTAAATTTACTTGAACTGCTAACCTTTTATTTAACATCCAAGCCCATTCATCTTTAGTACTACTGAGGGACGCCAGTAAGTTTGGAAGCACAGCATAATGTACCTGCTTTCTTGGAAGTCACAAAATAGAAGCCCTGCAAACAAGAAGGCTGTTCTGTTTATCATCTTCCAAAACTTTTTGAACCAGAGCCTTTTCCTCATGTGATACCTATTAATGTCCTGTGGCTGCCTCGTTATGTGGAACCACCCTGGGAGATGCTGTCTAGCAGAATTAGATTCTAACACACTCATTGACAATGTGCAGAGTAGATTTTCCCAAGTACATTAAGACTAGCATCCCCAATTTCTCATCTTTTGTACCAGGTGTTTGCAATGTCTTTGAAATCTTCCTCATCGTGACAGTAGCTTTCCTAATAGAACTAAATGTGACAAAGGCAGGATCTTCCCTGGGCCCTAGATGCATGAAGCTCATCCACTGTACTATCTGGGTATCCTGATGAATGAAAGCATCAATATGCTATTAACATGTCAGTTTCTCATTAAATCTGAGTACAGAATTTGTGTTTACCCTGTGGGATGAACTCCTCTAATCTGATTTGGCAGTGGTTCCAGTGTAAATATTCATACAAGCCAGGGCTCTTTTAATCTGGCCCTTTGCTTACAGTAATGAAGTTGGAGGGAGGCTCTCTTAAAGCCTGTTTTCTGGGTCACTTCTTAAAACCACAGTATCAGAAAGCAATAGCCCCATCATTTTGAATCTGTCATTAAGGAGGATTATACTCCTGAAACTAGATAGATTTAAATGCAGAAAAGAAATAAAGAGCAAATGATGAGGTTTGCTAAGAAGTTCTTTGGGCATTGAGCTCCAGGCTGGCTGCTTTATTTATAATTAATTACATAGACCCCTATCTGCTCATTCCTGTCAGTAGACCACTATCTCACACCAACCACATAAGGCAAGTCAGCCATGATTAACTACTTTTATGAGTAAGGGAATTGAGCTGGAGACAATTAAGTAACATTCCCAAGATTGCACAGTTAATCACAGTGAATCAAGGGTTTGAAATAAGGCCAACCAGCTCCAGGGTCTATGATCTTAGCTGCTTGCTTATCCTACCTTTATTTAGACCCTGTTGAGTTGATTCCAATTCATAGAAACCCTCCAATAGGATGGAGTAGAAGTGCTACGTAGGGTTTCCAAGGCTGTAAACGTTTAGGAGGTCTCTGGTAGCATAGTGGTTATGAATCAGGCTGTGAACCGCACGGTTAGCAGTTGGAAACTACCAGCTGTTCCATGGGAGAAAGATGAGGCTTTCTGCTCCTGTAAAGATTTACAACCTCAGAAACCCTGTACAAGGGTCGTTATGTGTCGGAATCGACTCCATAGCACATAACAACAACAAACTTTCAGGAAGCAAATTCCCACATAGCAGCTGGTGGGTTGAAACTTCCAACTTTCAGTTTATAATCAAGTGTTTTACCACTGAACCACCAAGATAATGTTTGTGAAACAGGATGTGTGATCAATCAACAGGTGCTCTCATCATGATTATGCTCAGGTGTGCACTGGCCATCACACATGCTGCACCTATAAATTCTACTGTAGTCGTTTAGGTACTATGTCAACTTGACTGGACCAGGGTTTTTGGTGGGTTGACAGTTAAGATGTAGTAATTCCCCATGAAGAGCCATCTTCTGTGAGCAGTCAATCAAGTGAAAGGAAGCTTCCTCTGGCATGTGACCTGCTTCCAATATTTTGGACACTTTCTATCGGGTCTGGATTCTGCATCTGGCTCATCATCCAACCTCTCTTTATATATACCTATATAATTTTTACTGGGTTTGCTTCTCTAGAGAGCCCAAACTAAAATATTTGGTATCAAGATTGGGGTTGTTTTAGAGAAACAAAATCATAAGGATGAGTTGTCTAAATTGTTTCTCGAGTCTGATGAGTTTTAATGGCCCTGTTAACCTTGTTTCTATTAGTAGAGAGGATGCTACTCGTCCATGGCATGAGGTGGGAATGTTAAAACACAAAGTATTGCCACCTGTAAATCAAGTATTGGTAACAAGTAGGACTCTGGTGATCTTGTGTTTGTTAGTTTTCTGCAATTCTGTCAGGATGAGAAGTGTAGGGAAGTTGGTTGGTTGGGCCTACTGAAAATAGACCAAGTGGTAATAGAAAACTATCAGCTCAGGCAATGCATAAAAGATTTCAAAGTTTCCACTTATGCCCTGAAAAAGAACCTTACTTCTTGTAGTAACAAAGTTGATATGTCAAAAAACAAACCCAGAGTCTTATGGTAAGAGTGGCTGAATTACAATGCCAATGGAATTTCCAATCTTGAATGGGGTCTGCTGTTAAAGTGAGGGCATTTATTGGGAAGAAATGGGATCCTGAAACTTGGAATGGGGACAAATGGGCAGATGATCAAGAAATTGGTGACACTGAACCATAAATTTTGTTGAATCATTCTTGCTATCAGCACTACACTTTCCATCTGAAGAGAT